AAGCTTCTAGCGGATCTTAGTTACCAAAAGGCATGACCGCAAGGCACAAATCCACAGGAAACCAGGCTGTCACAAACATAGCTATTTTGGTTTTTATTCTGTACCTAGGACACTGGCTTCTGTACCTAGTACACTGTACTTTTTATTCTGTACCTAGTACAAGGCTTAGGAGGCCTAAGCTCTACTAAAACATTCCTCCATTTCAAAATTCTTAGGGGAACCCCGAAGGACGCTCCCAATCCTGAACCACAGAGTAATGTTTTCCCTAACCAAACATTCCCTCATAGGCAGGTAGCCCCAAGTACAGCAATGAACAACATTTCTTATTTTGACTTGTCTAAATTCATTGGGAAGGTTTTTCCTTTTTGGATTATTTTTGACTACAAACAGGATTAAACTCAATACAATTAAGCACAACAGAAGGATTGATCACTCACCAGAAGGCTTTGTCTGTGTAACAAGATGACGCTGCCCAACAAATGCCTCCAATTCTCTCACTCTGTCAGGCACCTCTCTGAACACCTACAGCCCGGCAGAGAGGGTTAAAAACAGTAAGACAACTTATATTAGCAGAAAAAAGGAATCACTTATTAGAAGACAAAACATTCTACACCATGCTTGCTACAATGGCATGACTCAGATATATTTCAATGATTTTTTTCAAGGTATCATTTGAAAACAATAAAAATGCCAAGAGGAACTTCGAGAGTGTTATTTCAATACGTTCCAGTGTCTTACCTAAATTTTGGGGAGAAATAAATGAACTGTTGCAGACAGTTTGTTTAAATGGTTTTTACTGCCTAAGCATCAAAGCTATGACTCATTATTTGAGTACACTTTGAAGGAAAGATGACATAAAGCATGCTTTGTGGTCATCAGTGACAAGAAAGAAGAGGAATAGAGAATTAATTTAAAAAGAAAAAAATGTTACCACTAAAGTCTATTGTAGTGAAGAAAAATTTGCCTACTTCGCTTTTTAAAAGTTTTTAAAAGGCAGTGATGGAAATGTAATGTGCAATGGCAGAAAAAAAAAAATTCCCATTTTCATAGCTGAGTAGATAAAATCAGATCTTTTTCTTTCCCTGAACTATCAAAAGCCCTTTTCCTCAATAAATTCTTACCCTCCCAGATACATAATATAATCCCAAATAATTCCACCTTTTTTACTTGGATCTCCAGCTCTGCTTGAAAAAACATCTATTTTTACTCCAACCAGTGACTTATTTTCTTCTCATATATTTGCCAGTGAGATTGAACACTAGAGTTTCTAACTTACATCAGTCATACTCAAGAAGAATCCTAGACACACTTGATAAGATTTTCTCACTAAGCTTTACCACAGCTTCGTATATTTTCCTCTTAACTGCTGCAAATGTTCAGCTTTCCTGTACAACAAAGATTTATTGTGACTCTTTCAATTTCAAATTAATACATTAATGTTTGCCTCAAATAAGTAAAATATTTTTGATCCAGCTGTTTAAAAGAAAGCCAATACAAAAGAAAATCAACAAAATCTAAGCTAACTAAACGAACTCATTCTGATGGAAAAATCTTCACCAGCATTTTCATGTAGACATGGATTGGAGCATATTTCCTCAACATTCCTGCATGGCTTCCAAGACATTTTATGTACACGTCACAGATTCATGGAAAGGAAAACAACCACTCCAAGTACATCACTGTATTTTCAACTTCGGGCATCCAATGCTGAAGAAATGCACACCTTATTCCACCTCACATTGAGGGACTGCAGGCAATCAGAAAGTTTGTCTTTTTCTTGAAGATCAACATTTTTATCCAAAAGCACTTCAGTTTCAGTTCTGTTCAGCCATTCCAGCTTGTCTCCCTGTAATTCCATCTCATCACTTAAGACCTAAAAGGGACAAAAGACTTTTAGGTTGGAGCAAAATACATACATGCTTCAGTAAAGGGGTGGGAGGAAAGGAGGAGCTTTCCTTTAACTGCAATATTCAGAAATTTCCTTGGAAATATGTAAGAGAAAAGCTTCTATTTTGGTTTCTGTGCTCTATGTAGATATTATTGAAATATTTGTTCAAATATCAGCATTTATTGCTAACTGGAAAAAAAACCCACAAACTACAAACAGCCAAGATACCTATGCAGCTCCATATCACGCACACCGATTCTCATCTCACAAGATGCTTCTATTTGATCACCTCTGGATGTACCATGTGTACCCAAAAGGCAACAAATTTTTTAATCAAAATCGTTGCCTACATTGTTTTTTTAAAAATAAAAACTAAAGGCCCACTCCTGACATGCATTACACGAGTACACGGTAGATCACTACAAAGTACTTTACTCTTAAGGAAATGTACTCTAAAAGTATTTGGAAATTAAACATAACTTTACAACTTTATTTTGATCAATATCCCATAGTCTTCTTTTTAAACATGAAAGTGCAGGTTAGATCCTGAAAAAAGCTTATGCTTGAACTTCCACTGACTTTACATTAATTATGCTATCATTTGCCCACAGACAATAAGCACTGTGGAGTAGGAACCACGAATATCGTCTTTAAAGCATTAGAACAAAAAAAAAATTACAATAGTAAGTACATATCATATTTAGCCACCGCAATATGTATACTAACATCTGTTACACAACTATTACGGCGGTATGTATAGTACAGTGACAGGAACAGGCCTGAAAGGGAGATCACTAAACAGAGTACCCTGCTACAATGAGCACTTGACCAAATAGTGCCTTTTCTAAATTTTCAAGGATCTACCTTAAAATAATTATTTTTTTTAAAATACGTTATATCTTTTTCAATTGGAGGCTGCTCCAGAAGCTCTACTTAGAAATCTCCTTCTCATTCCCAGACTGTATTTATTCCTGACTGATCAGTTATTCCCACTTCCCTAATACTAGCCTTTAATAATACCTCATCTTCCCTGCGCATTCTTATTCTCATGATCATATCCCTTCTCACTGTTCTGTATTTGACTAGACAAAACAAGGCAAGCTCTGAGTCTCTTTGCAGATGAGTTCTTCACCCTCCTGAAAAGCCCAGCAATCTTAGTACCTGTTCTATGGCAAACTCACCTTTCCTTAATATACCTAACTAAAATTGCACACATGTTCCTGCTTTCACAGAGCCAGATTGGCACTTAATAATT